AATAATTCGTGACAATTTTTATCACAAAGAGATGTTCCAAATTGCCTATCATTTTGCATTTAATCATTACAGCTGCATTTATTTATTTTTGCGTAAAAAAGTAGATTTTGTTGGAACAAAACTGCGAAATATAGTGCAGTGATTGTATGAAATCAACTGATCCTACGAATTTGCCAAAATTTGAGATCTTAGACACAATTCTTCGAACTCGAAATATTATAGCTCATATATTGACGACGTGTGATATATTATTTATTCCATAATTAAATGGATCTTAGTACAGAGCTACGCAAATCAAAGATTGGTGTCAAATTCTTTTGATTTTTGATTATGAAAACTTTTTTTTTTCCTTGGATAAGACAATGCAACGGGTAAGATATTTTCCTGCATAGTTAATTTCGAAATTAATCTGAGATAATAATAATATTATTATTATTACTATCAATACTTTAATTAGAAGGTCGTGGTCACGTGCATTTTATAATATGACAAAATTGGCATGTGGGTTGTTATTTTTAAAATATATTAATATATTTTTTTTTTTGCAATGTTGAAAAATCATTGTACAAGATTACAAAATTTATTATTTTTGAAAACTAAACTTTGTAAATTTATTAATATGGACACAAAATCAACACACATTGAAAGAACTAAACATATTGAGAGACAAGAGGTAAATTTAATTTTTATGGATTAAATTTTTTTAAATTTAGAATATTTATTTATAATAATTAATCAAAATAAAAAATCAAAAAATCAAAAAAATCAAATTAATAGTCAATTATCTTATCAGAAATTATTAAAATAACCCAAGAAACACCAACGGTTAAAAGCTTTTTATTAAAACCTCAATCATCATCGCCTTCTTCGATAATAAATTTTGATTTTTTACCAGGCCAATGGGTGGATGTTTTTATACCAAACATACCAATAACAGGTGGATTTACAATAACATCTACCCCACTATACTATAAAAAAACCTCGTTATTCGAATTAGCGATAAAATATTCATCTCACCCTCCCTCAAAATGGTTTCACGAGTCATCAAAAATAGGCGATTTTGTCAAAGTTAGAATTGGTGGTGAATTTGTTTGGGATGACAAAAAAGAAAAATCCACCAATAACATTCTGTTCATTGCTGGTGGTGTTGGAATCAATCCATTGATGAGCATGTTACAATCGATTTTTGAAAAAAATATTAAAGGAATTGGTGGTGTAGATAATGATGATGGATTTGTCAATAGGATTCAATTGTTATATAGCGCAAGACGGTTTAACGAGCTTTTGTTTTACAATAGAATTGAAAATATAAGAACTCAATTGTCACATATTTTGGATTGTAAATGTTTCTTAACTAGAGAAGATGGTGATATATCATCTTTATCATCATCTCTATCACCACCTAATCGAGTAGATGAAATCACTACGGAAAATAAAACTGTTTATGGACAAAGAATCAGCAAACAGATTATAAGAGATGTTATTGACAAGGAGAAGAAAGAAACTAATGATGATTTAAACGGTTTCAAGTGTTTTATATGTGGACCTAGCCAAATGGAAGATGATATTATTAGTTGGTTGAAAGAAACTGGCGTTGATGACAAAAAAATCATTAGCGAAAAATGGTGGTAATGATATTTTGTTTGTAAATAATTAAATTATCAAGTCATTAGAAATTTTTGATATCCCAATATACATACAGTGCAACTTCTTGCATCTCTCTCTACATAACCTCTGCGCTGTGCAGTCTGTGTAATTACCGAGTACATTTCATTTGATGTCATTATTATTTGGCATTATGTTTTTTCTTAAATCTATATAAATGATTAATATTGCCCATGAAAATAAATATTACAAGACTATCCAGAATTGAGCAATAATCCAAATGACATTGAGCTTATAGTTTCACAGAAATAAAACATTCTATTAAACCTTTCCTACACATGATTATTTTCCCTTCCCGATTGTATACAATTCCAAGTTGTGGAGTTCCTTAAAAATCATTTCTAAAAAATAAAACAAATAATATTATACCTAATATGTTGAGCTTAGTAGTATTAGGCTTTCCTTCTGCGACCACGCTTTATTCGTTACCGTAGCATTTATTTTTCCATGGTTGGACATGATGCATTAACAAAGAACAAAAAATTCCAAATACAATGATTTTCTTTTTTTAGGTAGTATACTCGCGGATCTTAACCGTGTAACAACAAAATTTTTCATTGATGGTTTTTTATATTTCAAAAAGAAATTATACCAACCATTTACAGATAATGAATTCTGCAAAATAATATAATCACTGCAAAACAAACTGAGAAACTTTGTGTTAGGCGACGAACTGACATTGATCAAGATAAAAAGGCATTAGAAATAAGAGAACAACTTTATAAAGAATTCATTTGTATTTGGTAGGTTTTATTGAAAAGAGTTAATATTTGGAGATTGATTAAATCAAATCTCTTATAAGATTCAAAATATACATGTGCAACAAAGAAATGCATGGAATTATGCTAACGTCGCTTCAAATATAGTGATAGGTAATACAAATTAATTCTCACATCATTTTATTAAAAAAAAAATGTCAGAATATCTTTTTGAACAATCATTAATCTCCTCCGAAATACAAAATTCTTTACCAATAAATTATAAATTAAGGCCTTTGGCAAAAAATGATTTTGAGAAAGGTAAAAATTAATTAGAAAATAAATAATATTAGAGATAGAAATGATATAAGATGATACATTATTATTATGTTTCAAATATAGGAGTAATTGAATGTCTGGGGCAACTTTCAGTCATTGGAAATCCTTCTAAAGAACAATTTATTGGTTAGTAACTTGATTTTTATTTTTCCTTGGAATCAAATTAACAATAACCATATACAATTATTATTATTATTATTATATAGAACATTTTAATCAAATGAAAAGTTCAAAAGGATATTATATAATTGTGATTGAGAATGAAGAAGAAAAAATTGTTGGTGTTGGAACATTGTTGGTCGAATTAAAGTTTTTAAGAAGTTGTGGAAAGGTATAAATATATATATTATTGCTCAATTGATTTACCTACCCTCCTATTGGTTAATTTATTCACTATGAATACTCTTGACTATAAAATCTCCTTCCTATATATATACTACCACTATTGAATTGATAGGTGGGGCATATTGAAGATATAGTTGTGCATGATTCACAGAGAGGCAAAAGTCTTGGTAAAAGGTAAAATATTCATAATCTTGGGATTATTGTATTTCCAACAACATCTTTGATGATAAATTTTTTTATTTTATTTAGGATAATTGAGCAGCTAAAATACTTGGGAAATAAATTAGAATGTTATAAAATCGTTTTGAGTTGTAATGAGAAAAATATTCCATTTTATGAGAAATGTGGACTAACGATAAAAGATGCGCATATGGCGCTTTACTACGATAAATAAATAAAGGCTGATAATAATAAAATAGTTGATTAGATGATAAAATAAAAGAATATATTATCCATCATTCATTCATTCATTCATGATATTATTATCGCTAATTCAAATTTCCTCATCACTTACACTCATTCTTCAATCAATCACATCACAATTACAATCACAATCATTAATAGACATCATTGCCATCGATTTCTCAATGTTGGTTTGCGGGATTTGATTAAATGTCTGATTTTTTTAAAGAATATTATTATAGTTATTATCATAATAATAGTCATATGAAAATTAAAAAAAAAAAAAAGGTGGATTTTTACTTTGATTTCATAATTGATTTTTATTTTGTTTCGGATTTCTTTGATTTTTTTACGAATGTTTGTATTTTTAGTTTTTATTATTTTCATTTCATTTTTAAACTTGTTAATTTCATTTCTTAGAGTTTTTTGCCTTGTTTTGCAACTTTCCAGGTAATCATTATTACTTGTCTTGCATAATTATAGATATAGATAGAATATGTGAATATAAAATATCGCATGAACAATTTATATATAATAAATATTTCTTACTTCATTGTTTCGATCAGTTTCGTGCATTTTTTTGGGGGAGAAAATTACAATCAAAGATTTGTTATGATTTTCATCTGAAAATCAATCAACATATAAAAAAAGTTTTTTCTTTTATACGGCTTTCCTTTTGCCGTCTTCTTTCATCATATTTTTTTTTAATAAAATGAAAACAGAATTACTATCAAATATTTATAATGTACTCGGAAAATTTTTTAATTGTTGTAATCAAGCAAGGTGTTAATATTGAAATTTATCAAACTTCCTAGAATCAAAGCAACTCAATCATCAGTTATTCATTGATGACAGTCTGTTGCAAGTCTAACCTCGTTTCCAAATTTTGAAGCAACAAATAAATTAATTTTATTAAATACTTTGGATTATAAAATAACTTGATCAGTTTGTTACGTCCAAGAGGTTTACTTTCTTTAACATTTTCCATCAACTTCTCAAATATTGATGCTGTCGTGGAGAATATCAAGAATCTAATCCCGAAAAATTTAAATTTTAACGATTATTAATGATGTCTATTTAACATATTTTAAATTTTAGTAATTTGATTTCGTTTGAATTCTTTGATAATTAATGCGAACGGTCAAAGAAAACAATATTTCTAGATAATAATAGTAATAGTCTTCATTTTTTATTACTCTTTGCCTAATTCTCTTTTACTTTGATTAAACGTGTAACATTAATTACAATAAAAAGTTCTTTCTTGAGCAACTAGGTGTTGCATTCAACAAATTAAATTAAGTCAAGAAATAGTGAAAGGAATGAAACAATGGTGAAAGGAATCAATGAGTAAGCTGTGCATGAATTTATATTATCTTATATAGAGAATATAAAAGAAAATTGTTTTGTGGGTCAATATCTAAAATTAAAATTTTAAGGTTAATTAAGGTTAATCAAAAATGGAAATAAAATGTTATCTACACATAGTCCCGATTGATTATTTCTCACACGCCTTTCAAATTTTATTTTTTACTAAAAAAAAGTGAAAAAAAAATGCAAAACAGAACAACCATTTTCTTAGCTATCATTATCGTGATAATTGCACTCTCGTATAATTCTGTTTATGATTATCTTTCTTTTTCCGGGTTGTTTAGTGAAAAACCAAGAGCCTATTCTGGTGACAGGTGTAGAAAAATAGAAGGTTTGATTAATAAATATTATTATTATTATCATGGTAACTTTCTTGAAGGAAATAAAAAGTATATGTATGAATTGTCTTTCAATTGAAAGAAAAAGGTCTAGAAGCTTGTGAAGATATTGTAATTCATCATGAAAGTGGATATGCTTTTATGGCTTGTGGCAATTCGGAACTTAGAAGAACTCATTGGTATCCACCATCTGGAGTTTTTAAAAATCAGAGTATTCAATATAGAGAACAAGTCTTCGTCTACAAAATTGATGTATATATGAATGAATATGTGAATATATGAATAATTTTTATTTTTATTATTAACTAAAATTATTTTCTCTTTGATTTTTCTTTCCTTCTTCCCTATTTTTCCTTCCTTCCCCTATTAACACAATCAGTCAGAACTTTTGTTACCACTCAGTTTTAAAAATTATCCTGATAATGAGGATGTGGTTCTTCACGGATTAGGAATTTATCAAGACCCAGCTCATCGTAACATTTTATACATATTTCTGATTAATCATAAACGATCAGGAAGCGTGATTGAGATTTTTAATCATAGAATTGGGTCACAAGAATTACAACATTTGGAAACCATCAAAGGTGATTTGATTCGTTCACCAAACAATCTTTTGCCTGTCTCTAAAAATGAATTCTATGTTACAAATGATTTATACTACAGAAAAGGATTTAAAAAAGGAATTGAATGTTTGTTTTTTTTTTTTTTTAATAATTATAATCATCAATGGTTATTGGTGGACAATTTTTTTAATTCTTTCTCTTATATATATATATATATATATATATATATATATAGTTATTACACGTCGTCCATGGTCAAATGTTGTGTTTTATTCTGGGGTTAATAATAAATCGGAAATAGTTGCAGATAAAATTAGTTATCCTAATGGAATAAACGGTAATTGGGACAATTCACGTATTTATCTGGGAACTTCTACAGGTGGTAAATTGTTTATATATGAACGAAAACATGACAACAAACTCAAATTATTGGACACTGTTAAAACTGATGCTACGGATAATGTTAGTGTTGATGATATTACTGGTGAAATTTATTTGGCTAGTAAGTGTATCAAGTTTATTATACATGTGTGTTGATTGGTTGGTTAGGATTTGTTTTTAATTATTAATATTTGTATAAACTTTTTTTTTTTTTTACTTCAAAATAATAAAGCATTCCCAAAGCTTATACCAGTCGCCATGTTCTTAAAGGATTATGGTGAAACACACGTACCAAGTGCAATCGTAAAAATTAGTAATAATACAAATGAAGATAAATTCTACGGCGTAAAATACTCTAAAGAAATTGTGTATCAAGATGATGGAAGCTTTTTTAATCACGTTACAGTGGCAGCTGTTGACAGAAAAAGAAATGTTATGCTATTAGGTTCTTTTATTAGTAAAGGAATTGTAAGATGCGAATTGGAGTATGAGCTTGCCAAGTAATCACAAAATTTAAATTGTTCACAAAAAAAAAAAAAAAAAAAGGAAAATGTCCCCCAAAGTTTGATATTATAATATTATTTGTAAATAATGAACATAATAAACACTAAATAAAATTAAAATATTACAATCATCTTTAATAATTTGTCCACCACATGTAATGAAAAATGTTGCCACCAAACCAAATGATAAATAAAGGATGGCTGGATGATTGAAGAATTTATTGGGACAAATTATTGATTGATAATATAATTGGTTGATTAACAGAAATTTCATTCACCTGACTTTGCAACGTTTTATTATTATAGTTTTAATATTAAATATTAATATTAATTCGAAAAATGGAGAGGTTAGATGAAGAGTGCTTTATTTATTTATTTCGCAATTAACTTTTTTTGTTATAACAACTCAGCCATAAAAAAAGATCAGCGAGCCGACATGTGAAAGGCACGTTTTTTTATAAACATTAAAAATAATTTATAATTCTATAGTGTAAAGGAATTAATTGCAACATGCTTAAAGAGTGACGACAAGTGGTGGGCAATAAATACCACCACCATTCTTATGTTAAACACTTACTTGCGTCTCTCTCTTGGTTGTTGCTCTTTGCTTTTTTTTTTGTCTTTTGGCATTTTGATGAAAGATTAAAAATTAAGATTGAAATTTATACTTTTAATAGAGATGCCAGCCAAAGTTCTAATAAAAAAGAGGATGCATATAATCATTTATTTAAAAGAATAACTTATAGCCAACTAAAAAGAAATGTTTTTTGTTAAAACTTAGCAATGGAGAGTTAAGTTTATTTGATCGACAAATGTGTGACACTAATTATTTATGTATGGGCTCATAGGAGAACTTTCGATCAAATTCAATTGAGCTTGCACATTATTTACACAGTTTAAAGTACTTTTTAAGGGCACAATGTTACCATAAATAAAAAATACAATTTTTTTCATAATTTGCTTCATAAGAACGCCAATATCCACTATGCAAAAGAATCATAAACCTCATATACTTTACTTAGAAGCGAAAATGCCACAAACTACTACTATTACTAGATCATGTGCAATTACTATATGTCGAAGACAGTCAACAAAGGTAACTGAAAATGTTCTTTTTAAAGGCCATGCTAATAAATACTTTTCCAGGTTATGTTCAAGGAACGATGCAATTTGTTTACACGGATGTCAAATTTATTAATATATAAGGTGCGCAAAATTTATACTATTTATTATGAATTTTTTTTTGTATAAAAAAATAAGCTTTCCAACATCAATAAAAAAACAACTGGGTAACCCACAACCCATAGTTGAGTATTAACAATTTAAATTCAATTTTACTTATATTTTGATGTAAGGAAAGGGTCTCCTTACACACATATATAAAAAGAATATATTGCTATGGTTAGCTCAGTCTAAAGACCTCCTGTTGCTGCGCCACGTGCTCAAATTTCAAAATTTGCAATTTCGTGATTCATTCAAAAATCCAATAAAAATTTTTTAAAAAAGGTTACACATGATTTTGGTTTAAAAATAAAATTGTAACGTTCTAAAAAATCTTTGCTAATGCTACAACCTGTTTCCCAAGTTTGAAGAAAAGGTTAAAAGGTAAATTAACAAAATCAATTGTTACAATATATGTAAAATTAATTAAAATCACTATATGTTCTTCTCAATTGAATCAAAATAAATAAAACATTACTTATCTTTATTGTTGTTTTTTAATCCTTTCCTTTATATGAATACCTGCATCCATCAAATATTCATGATGGTCGTGATTATTATTCAATACATTTGATATCATCATTGACATAACAAACAATTGCATCACCCAAGTAATAAATAATACTAAGACCATGCAGGAACTAAACTTTAAGGAACCTGATTTCAAAACAATAATGTGCATGTCTACCCAGATCTCTGGGTTCACAAGAATAAATAAATAGGGAAGATCAAAAAAAATATTTCCCCTTCCATTGTATAGTTTCTTAAAGTCAATAATAAATCTGATGTTGATCACAAGTGTCAGATTTAATTAAAATTTTCCTATCACAAATATGCAGGTCTGCACAATTAAGTACTTTTCAGCACCATGGGTTTTTTCCACAGGTGAAAGCTCCCTGAACATGTTTGAAGGCTTTGGACAAAACCTCTCTTAACTTCCCCTCAGACCAGGCTTGACTGTTTCCATATGGGCATTGATTGCTGATGATAGCTGGTACTTGTGTGGTGATTGCTTTATATTATCCCGACCTGTAGGTGTCTGCAATTCTGCAACTCGAGAGGTTGCTGTTTTGTGTTGGTGGCACACCTACTCACCAACAACCCTACTTCCATTTTAATAACAAATTCAGTTAGTCAAATAAAAATTAAAGAAATAGAGAATAATTAATTTATATATAACATACCAAAAAAAATCTGAGCCATTTTATTTTACAGCTTCTTCCTAACATCAGAGCCCAAACACAATTTCAGGGTCACCAACCCAACCCACTCTGAATTGCAACCTCCTGTACTTTAAATGAGCTGCAGATTCCTCCAGAGTTGTGACATCTTGGTCACAGATCCATCCTTACCCTAGAGGTAGGATCGTTGTAGGCAACTTGTCAGCTTTCTCTGGTGAGGGTGCTGTGAGGGAAGGTTATCAAAAAGTGACATTGACAATTGATGCAGTCTTGGTAAATTCCAGGGCCTTGGGTCCCCTCCCCGGAATTTGGTTGCATCATTGTATCATCAGGGGCAGCGTGGTCAGATTAGCCTTATGTACACGAGGAATGCAAGAGAATGACTGTAAGTGTTCAAGGTAGCGTGCGTGCTTCAACACTTGCTAATTTCCAATAATCAACCATCGCATATTGCAGTGTTTCATATTTGAATTGTTTCTTTTTCAACAGTCAATTCTGCCTTGACATTTTCTTGTAATTATTTATTGTAATAGTAATAATATTATTATTATTATTATTAATTACGAAAAGCAAATCACCAATCATTACTATCGATGAGAATCTTATAATTACCCAGCAAGATCTGCTCTGCATTTTGATTTCAATAAGACATATCAATACAAGCTACCTCTGGTTAGTTATTAACACGTCTTCAGAACCAAACCGTACCAAACAACACTCACGTTTTATCATCATTAAAAAATAAATTGTTTTCCAAAAAAAAATCAATCGCGTCAACAAAAAAAAATCAATAGGGGCATACATCATAGAAGGACATTCATATGATTGGTCAGATATGTTACACGAAATTTGCAATAAATTTTTTTATCGTTTACTATGTACCAAAAGAAAATAATATTAATGAATTAATTTTGATTTATTTTTTTGAGAGAAATATTTTTTTCTTTAATAAAATTATTTAAAACGTTGTTGATCTAAGTTTCAACTAAATCCTTGCATGTAGAAGTTTATATTTTGCCAAGTAAAACATGAGTTTAATTGATCTATTTCACTTATATAAAACGTACAAGTTTTCCTCCATGTTTACCAAGTAGTATATTTTTATTTTTTATTTATTGTATTTATCTAATAAAAAATAAATTATTATACAAAATTGTTAACAGTGATTATAAAACAACTAACTGCCACTACTGCCTTTTGACATCTATGTATAGTATTGTTGTTGATATACACATTATATCTCATAAATGAAGTAAAAAGTAGTTAGTTGAAAAATCTCCTGGAAATATATAATAAATAGTATAAATTTTGCGCACCTTATATATTAATAAATTTGACATCCGTGTAAACAAATTGCATCGTTCCTTGAACATAACCTGGAAAAGTATTTATTAGCATGGCCTTTAAAAAGAACATTTTCAGTTACCTTTGTTGACTGTCTTCGACATATAGTAATTGCACATGATCTAGTAATAGTAGTAGTTTGTGGCATTTTCGCTTCTAAGTAAAGTATATGAGGTTTATGATTCTTTTGCATAGTGGATATTGGCGTTCTTATGAAGCAAATTATGAAAAAAATTGTATTTTTTATTTATGGTAACATTGTGCCCTTAAAAAGTACTTTAAACTGTGTAAATAATGTGCAAGCTCAATTGAATTTGATCGAAAGTTCTCCTATGAGCCCATACATAAATAATTAGTGTCACACATTTGTCGATCAAATAAACTTAACTCTCCATTGCTAAGTTTTAACAAAAAACATTTCTTTTTAGTTGGCTATAAGTTATTCTTTTAAATAAATGATTATATGCATCCTCTTTTTTATTAGAACTTTGGCTGGCATCTCTATTAAAAGTATAAATTTCAATCTTAATTTTTAATCTTTCATCAAAATGCCAAAAGACAAAAAAAAAAGCAAAGAGCAACAACCAAGAGAGAGACGCAAGTAAGTGTTTAACATAAGAATGGTGGTGGTATTTATTGCCCACCACTTGTCGTCACTCTAGTTCATATAAAAAACAGACTGAATTAAAAAATTTTTTTGTATATGTATACTTGTTTAATACAATCTAGTAAAACATCATCTTTACGATCACCTCTCAAAGAAACTAATGAAAACCATACACAAGTATAATCATATTATTTATTTCAATACATTAATATTTAATATTCAATTATGGTCAATATTGTAGATATTAATCTGATCTTTACAAAATAATCATTCTCTTTAGAAATTGGAAGAAAAGATAAAATATTTAGAAAATAAAATTGTCAAATTGAAAAATTCAAAAAAAAAGACAGGTAAAAGATTTCACAATACAAATTCTGGGTTATATACATTGGTGATAAAATTAACTTTCATCCATTCCATTTGACATATTACCTGCACAATATTATCATCTATCTTTTTTTATATGTAAATTATCTGTCTGTATTATGTATGGTTTTACAATATCACTAACTCTTCTACTAGTTCTAGCAGACAAAAATACTTATGAAGAAATGGAGCAAAAAATCAAGCGTATCTCAAAAATGAAAACACCATCATTGTTCTGTAAACCAAAAGAAATGTTGAAGGTTCAAGAACCTTTTATTTACA